TTTTATGTGAGCCGCCCTGAGTCCCCTCAGGGAAAAGGGCGGCCTACAAATTCTAATAAAACTACAAAAAAAAAAAACTACAAACTTTATTAATTAAACAGTGAAAAGAAACTATATGTAGCTCTGGGTTTAACTGTGGAGTTCTTGACACTGTCTGAATTTAGTTGCTTGTTTGCAGGCATCTCATTACCCAACTAGATAACATCATGATAAGAAAAGCACTAATGGATCTGGAGGAAAACATGAAAACACTAATGAGACAAAAATCATATCTTATGAAAGTGTGGCCTTCAGAGAATCTTCCAGTAGATTCCATCACTAAAGCATTTTTTTTCTGACAGAAAATTATTATATAATTATATAAATATAATTATTTATATAATTCAATGTATATAATTTACTCAGCATCACTAAATGCATGATTCATTCATCTGGTTTAGACACAAGGAACCCAACACCATTATTGATCTTTGTTTAGCAATATTCCAGGGAAAAATAATGTCTAATAAGGGATTCTCTCCTACCTCTCCACCAATTTCTTGGCAGAATCTTTCTGAAGCTAGGAAATTTCATTTTCAAAAAGTCTAAAAACAGTGATATTGGAAATTGGCTGGAAGAGCATTATGTTAAGAGAGATGTCAAGATCCTAAAAATCATAATCTTTCATCCCCAGCATTCCTCAGTTTAATTAGTTAGATTAGATTATAAATTGCTCTGAGTCTTTGAGGGTGTGCATGTCTATAAATAATTATAAACAAATAAACATTTGTATTTAACAATCAGTGAAAAAGTTGTGAAAAGGAAACTATCTGACGGTACAATCAAATCCATTTAAAATTAATATAAAGATAATTTACACAACAGACTTACCGTAATTGCACTTTTATGTATTGCTATTACATTGCACTGCTCATATATTTCTAAACAGAAAATCAAATACTGAATACCTTGCTTGTGGTAAGCCATAGCTGGTTCCCACTCCAACACGAGGTAAGCTGTATACAACTTTTTTCACTGTTGCTTGATCAGGAAAATTAAACATTACAGAAGCTGCAGTACAAAGAGAATTGAAGGGTTAAAGAATTGCTGATATACAAAAAGGTTTTATATGTCATCATAATATGTCATCAAAAGCAAACAAAAAAGCTAAGAATATAATTTGAGATATAATCCAATTACATTTTTATTCTAATTAAGATGCAAAAGATTTTCATATTTTCTGCAGACATATATCTTAAAGGTTCTCTAGGAATCTGATGCAAACAAAAGTCACACTATGCATGTTACCTATTAATAATGGAACTATTCAATGAAAAAAAAACCCCCAAATCCTTCTGATATAGGGCTGCATCAGTGAAACAGTTTTAGAGTCAAAGTACTGCAGGCTAAATGAATTTGCTTCACACAATGGCAATGCCATTGACTTCAGACATATTTGAAGACTGGAATTTTCATTCCAAAGATCTAATTTTGGAGAGGAAACATGTTTATTCCTCTCAACCTATGATAATATATTTATAATTCCTCCTTTCTCAATATTTAAGCTTTATCTGTAGATGAAGAGAAAGGAAAATTCATGGAAGGTTGAAGAAAACTTTCCTTAAATTAGAGAAAAAATAGATCTTTCTCCACTTCCTTCTTATTGTTTTTGTCTAAAATATATAATTTTCAAGCTATGTGTAAAGCTACTATATCAGTGATGGCGAACCATTTAGATACTGAGGGTCCAAACTGCGTGTGCGTGCTTGCCCAAACTGAAAGATGTACGTGTGAGAATGCATGCATGTCCATGCATTCATGGACATGCATAAACATCTGCATGCACATGCATCCGTGCATGCAGGTGTACATGCAGGTGCGCATGCGCAGCAGAGACCCGAAGATCAGCTAGCCGGTGGGAGGTGAAGCATCCCAACACTGGCAGCATGGCAAGAAGTAAGATCTTTTTCTTCTGTTTCATCGT